CTGAAAAGATACCCCAAAATGTGGAAGCAACTTTGGAACTGAGTAACAAGCAGAGGTTGGAACAGTTTGGAGGGCTCAGAAGAAGACAGGAAAATGTGGGAAAGTTTGGAGCTTCCTAGAGACTTGTTGAATGGCTTTGACAAAAGTGCTGATAGTGATAAGAATAATAAGATCCAGGCTGAAGTGGTCTCAGATGGAGATGAGGAACTTGTTGAGAACTGGAGCAAAGGTTTTCCTGTTATGTTTTAGCAAAAAGACTGACAGCATTTTGCCCCTGCCCTAGAGATATGTGAATTTTTGAACTTGAGAGAGATTGATTTAGGGTATCTGGTGGAAGAAATTTCTAAGCAGCAAAGCATTCAAGATGTGGCTTGGGTGCTGTTAAAGGCATCTAATTTTATAAGGAGAGCAGAACATAAAAGTTTGGAAAATTTGCAGCTGGACAATGTCATAGAAATAGAAAAGAAATCCCATTTTCTGAGAAATTCAAGCTGGATGTGGAAATTTGCGTAAGTAACGAGGAGCCTAATGTTAATCCCAAGACAATAGGGAAAATGTCTCCAGGGTATGTCAGAGGTCTTCATGGCAGCCTTTCCCATCACAGATCCTGAGGCCCAGGAGGAAAAATGGTTTCATGGGCTGGGCCGAGAGTCTCTGTGTTGTAGTGCAGTCTAGGGACTTGGTGCTTTGTCCCAACCTCTCCAGCCACGTCTAAAATGGGCCAAGGTACAGCTCAGGGCATGGTTTCAGAGGGTGCAGGCCCTAAGCCTTGGCAGCTTCTACATGCTATTGAGCCTACAAGTACACAGAAGTCAAGAATTGAGGTTTGGGAACCTCTGCCTAGATTTCAGAGAATGTATAGAAACACCTGGATGTCCAGGCATACGTTTGCTGCAGTGGCGGGGCCCTTATGGAGAACCTTTGATAGGCCAGTGGGGAAGGGAAATGTGGGATTCAAGCCCCCACACAAAGTCCCTACTTGGGCACCATCTAGTGGAGCTGTGAGAAAAGGGCTACCATCCTCCAGACCCCAGAATGGAGGATTCATCAATAGCTTGCACTGTATACCTAGAAAAGCCACTGATGCTTGCTACCAGCCTGTGAAAGCAGTGGGAGAGAGGCTGTACCCTGTAAAGCCACAGAGACAGAGCTGCCCAAGACTATGGGAGCCCACCTCTTGCATCATTATGACCTGCATGTGAGATGTGGGGACAAAGGAGATTATTTTGGAGTTTTATGATTTGACTGCCCTGCTGGATTTTGGACTTGCATGGGGCCTGTAGCCCTTTCATTTTGGCCAATTTCTCCCATCTGGAATGGCTGTATTTACCTAATACCTGTACCCTGATTATATCTAGAAAGTAACTAACTTGCTTTTAATTTTACAGGCTCATAGGCAGAAGAGACTGGCCTTGTCTTAGATGAGATATTGGACTGTGGACTTTTGAGTTAATGCTGAAATGAGTTAAGGCTTTCGTGGACTGTTGGGAAGGCATGATTGGTTTTGAAATGTGAGGACACGAGATTTGGGAGGGGCCAGGGGAAAAATGACATGGTTTGTTTCTGTGTCCCCACCCAAATCTCATCTTGAAATCCCCTGTGTGGTGGGAGGGACTGGGTGGGGGCAGTAATTGAATCATAGGGGCAGATCTTTCCCATGCTTTTCTTGTGATAGAGAATAAGTCTCACAAGATCTCACGGTATTAAAAAGGGGAGTTTCCCTGCACAGGCTCTCTTTCTCTTGTCTACCACCATGTGAGGCAAACCTTTCACCTTCTGCCGTGATGATGAGGCCTCCCCAGCGACGTGGAACTGTAAGCCCATTAAACCTCCTTCTTTTGTAAATTGCCCAGTCTTGGGTATGTCTTTATCAGTAGCGTGAAAATGAACTACAGTACTTTTCACACTTATGTGTGATACATCTTTATGAAAGTGTCAGCTTGAATTCACCCTGATATCAAATATTCTCAACCTCTTACCCTATCATTATTTTGGTAACCTTTCTTCAAGTAAAAGACAAACATACAGCACCCGACATTTTTAGAATTGCACTTTTTCTCAGTTATATTCATTCTTAAACTAGGATTTAAAAGAAAGCCTTGAAGCTAGTAAGTCAAAACAGACTGCTTTTCTTACCATGTTTGGTAGTAAACAAGGGAACTGGGTATATTTGTGTTTGTTTGTTTGATTTCTCTTGTGGTGAAGGAGTTTCTGAGATTGTCTTAGCGATCAACTTTTAGCTGTTAATCAGGTTAGGTATATTCAAAATGCCACTATTTGAGTAAATGGCTTTATTTCATTTTTTTGAGCAAGCTATGATGTTATCCACATATTTGGAGTGGCATTTTAAAAAATGAAATAAAACACAGAAATACCTAGAAAAATATTGTGTGTGAACAAAAAGGTAACCCTGGCCAAAAAAAGGCTTTCCAAATCTTCAAAAGAGTCCATTCATTTAACAACAGCAATAATTTTAATTTATTGAAAGCTCATTGTGTATCAGCTCCTTCATATGGTTTATGTTATTTAGTTCTGTCAACAGCACAGGGATTTGTAATTATTATTATCATTTTTAAAGATGACTAATGCTAAGAAAGTTTAAATAACATTCCCAAGGTGACACAATTTATGAGTCATGAGTGAGACTCAAACTTTTTTTTTTTAGTATTAACTTGCTTTATTTATTTTCTTATTAGTTTTTTTGCCTTTTTAAAAATTGAGGTGCATTATACTTATAAAATTTACCATTTTCACCATTTCTAAGTGTAGAGTTCAGTGAAGATTCAAATTTGAATTTAATTCTCAAATTTGTGTTTCTAATCCCTATATTATCATACATTTAATCCAGAACATCAACTAAAAACTCAAATAGAACAAAATACGTGTCAGTTTTCACATAATAAAACCAAGGATGAATCAACTTTAGAAAATTATAAAAGTACTATGTTATTCTAGAAAATTCAAAGAATTGTATAAGTAGAAGATAAACATAGTCATCTTTATATAATACCAGTTATACAATTTCTCATGGAAAATTAATTTGCACACCTTTTTTCTTCCCTACAGCATTGAACTTTATTTTTTAAAAAATCCATTTGCCAAGTTCTGCTTTGGAGCCTGGAATATTAAACTGTCATCTCACAACCAAAAAAGGACAAGAGTAAAATGAAAATGGATCTCATCCCAAATAACTAAAAGTTTTTTTGGCATTGTTTAATATTTGGAAGAAAATAAGTGTGCTGTAATATAACAGAGCAGAAAGCTCCTCGCTGTCATGATTTGACTACTGCTTTTAACCCCAGAACTAAACAGAACAGACAAAACACATTTCCTACGGGCCACAGTGAAGTAATATTCAGTATTGCAGCACCATTTTTGGAGTCTAATACACTATCTTTAAATCTACTCTTTTTTATCAAAACTCCTAAGCAGGAGACCTCATTCAGTCTATTGACATCACAGTCATTGTTATTTAAAGAACATTTCTTTTGCATTGGTGGGCTCTAGGTCCCTGCTGTGTTGAAATTACAGAGTGAAATGTTCTTGAGGCCTATTCTATTTGGCAGATCAATGTTTTAAAAGAAATAATTCAGAGTAATGTTTCAAAAGATGGGATTTAGAGACTTGTAGTTGAATGCCATTTACATGGAACATACTGAGCCACCTGCTGCTGTAAAGAGACGTTTTTCCCACCGATTTGTAACTTTTCTTTTTAATTTAAAGAAATTGCTGCTGAGTAAGACTCTCTCTTGTCTTTCATGCCACATTTTCTTACCTTATTTTCTCCTTAGTTTGCATTTTAAGAGACATTTGCATGAGAACAAGTCCTCTTGATTTGAAGCTTTAGCTGCTTGAACTTCTGATGGATTGACTTCTAGTGATAATTATTGATGGAGAAGCTTCAAAAGGCAATACCCCATCCTTTGTCTTAGGCTCCATTCTCTTTATCTGATACATTCCTTGCTGTTAGCCTCAATGGCAGTCCTACCTTTAAATGACTCCAGAAAAGCCTCAGCTCCCTTTCCCCTTCTTTTGACCTTAAGTCGGTGGCCTCACCTTCTCCTGAAATGGTTAGCTTTTCACTTGGCAATGTTTGGCAGCATTCATTTTGCTGGCTCTTCCCAGTTATTGCTGCCTTCAGAAGTGCCTTCCTAGAAGGCCACTGGCTTCCCAGTGTGGCGGCAGTTTCATGTTTCCAGTGTCTAATGGCACCTGCTAACTTATAACCATTGTTGAAGAATTAACTTGTTTTTCTTGAGATGCTTCCTTGACCCTCCTAATCGGGCAGATGTCTTTGTTTGCACTACCATAGCGTCTTGTACTTCAACCGTCATAAGGTTTGTCACATGGCTGCAATTGCTTAGTTAAATTTCTGTAAACTCCATAGAAGTAAAGATTTGTTAGTTTTTTTCTTTAAAATCATAAACACTAAAATGGAAGTGATGTTGATTTTTCTACAACACCAGAGATTAAATAATTAATTTCCACTTACTAATTTAAACACTTTTTATAGAACTCTTAACCCATTTGTTTTTCCATTTCCACATGATAAAAGAAAAAAAAATCTGTAAATTTTACCTCTTGTTTATTTTTCTCTGTATGTGGTTGCTTACATGATACCAACCTAAAACTGTTTGGTACACAAAAAAGTTCAGTTCTATTGTTTTACATCACCACCAGTTTGCTCCATGAATACCTCATACAAAATTTTTCAAAGTATATAATTTGTAGAATTGAATAATTTTACTTCAATCCAAGACTAGCTCTTCCCTATAGAGCACTCTATTCTGTGTCCAAAAAATGTGTAAAAGGACAAAATGAACAACTTTGGTACCAATCAGAACTCCTGCCCTTAAGTTTAACTCCCTTCATTACTGTATGAGATGTTACACTTTGTACTGTATATGGCCCGGTAGGCCCTTCGACTTAAAGACCTGATTTAGCTCAACTATTAAATATGCCCCTAAGTCACATCTTCAAATAATACATTTCCCTTTTAGGAGACTTAGGAGAAGAGAGAACTTGTACTCTAGCAAGAGTTACATATACAGGAAAGCAGGGCAAGACCAAAGAGGTAGGTAAGTGTAGACCAGCACTTGAGATGCTTTAAAACTTCCAGAGCCTGTCTTCTTGAGCAGAAATGTTTTAGGGTGGAAGCCTTCAGGGCCTGAAAGGCAAAGGCTTCAAGCTGTTTTCTGCCCGGTCAAAGGGTTGATCACAGTTGGGAAGACATTTTCATTTTCAACCTCAAAATTGCTCTTTATTCCTGCAAAACAACATGGAAAGTGAAACTGGAAGCCAGCCAACACTTTGCTGGTTTTGCTTTGGGTGTGAATTTGTTCACATAGTTCTAAGTTCAGAACATAATGATATGCTCTAGAAATGCCATCGGGCATTGCTGGAGAATGTAATGTCACACTGAGGACCATTATTTCACAAAAGGACTGTTAGTTGCTAAAATGCAACCCAATACTATATACATGCATGTTTGTACGTGCATGTGTGTGTTTACATTACGTATATGTGAAAATACTCTAAATTTTTTTATTTAAAGAGGTGAAAAGATAGCATCTTAAACAGCCACAAAACTAGAAAGTTGAATTCCTTCACTTTTTTTAAGAGGCAGAATTGGAAGGACGAGCTGCTCAAAGCCATCTGGCCTGCCTTCGCAGCACTTGATCACGACCACAGCGGCGAAGCCTCCAAGTCCCAGCTCAAGATCCTTTCCCATAACCTGTGCACGGTGCTGAAGGTTCCTCATGAGCCAGTCGCCCTTGAAGAACACTTCAGGGATGATGATGATGAGGGGCCAGTGTCCAACCAGGGCTACATGCCTTATTAGTAACGAGTTCATTTTGGAAAAGGTCCAAGACAACTTTGACAAGATTGAATTCCATAGGATGTGTTGGACCCTCTGTGTCAAACAAAACCTCACAAAGAATCCTCTGCTCATTACAGAAGAAGATGCATTTAAAGTATGGGTTATTTTCAGCTTTTTATCTGAGGACAAGTATCCATTAATTATTGTGACAGAAGAGATCGAATACCTGCTTAAGAAGCTTACAGAAGCTATGGAAGGAGGTTGGCAGCAAGAACAATTTGAACATTATAAAGTCAACTTTGATGACAGTAAAGATGGCCTTTCTGGGTGGGAACTTATTGAGCTTATTGGAAATGGACAGTTTAGCAAAGGCATGGATCGGCAGACTGTGTCTATGGCAATTAATGAAGTCTTTAATGAACTTATATTAGATGCATTAAAACAGGGTTACATGATGACAAAAGGCCACAGATGGAAAAACTGGACTGAACGATGGTTTGTGCTAAAACCCAACATAATTTCTTACTATGTGAGTGAGGATCTGAATGATAAGAAAGGAGACATTCTCTTGGATGAAAATTGCTGTGTAGAGTCCTTGCCTGACAAAAATGGAAAGAAATGCCTTTTTCTCATAAAATGTTTTGATAAGACTTTTGAAATCAGTGCTTCAGATAAGAAGAAGAAACAGGAGTGGATTCAAGCCATTCATTCTACTATTCATCTGTTGAAGCTGGGCAGCCCTCCACCACACAAAGAAGCTTGACGGCATCGGAAAGAACTCCGGAAGATGCAACTGGCTGAACAAGAGGAACTGGAGCGGCAAATGAAGGAGCTCCAGACCGCCAACAAAAGCAAGCAGCTGGAGTTGGAGGCCATGCGGAAGAAACTGGAGGAGGCAGCATCTCGTGCAGCAGAAGAGGAAAAGAAACGCCTTCAGACTCAAGTGGAACTTCAGGCCAGGTTCAGCACAGAGCTGGAAAGAGAGAAGCTTATCAGACAGCAGATGGAAGAACAGGTGGCCCAAAAGTCCTCTGAACTGGAACAGTATTTACAGCGAGTACGGGAGCTGGAAGACATGTACCTAAGGCTCTTGCAAGAGGCTCTTGAGGATGAGAGACAGGCCCGGCAAGATGAGGAGACGGTGTGGAAGCTTCGGGCCAGGTTGTTGGAGGAAGAGTCTTCCAAGAGGGCTGAACTAGAAAAGTGGCACTTGGAGCAGCAGGCCATTCAGATGACTGAGGCAGAGAAGCAGGAGTTGGAGAATCAGTGTGTCCTGAAGGAGCAGGCTCTGTAGGAGGCCATGGAGCAGCTGGGGCAGCTGGAGTTGGAATGGAAACAAAGCACCTGAGCAGTACGAGGAAGTTAAAAAGAAGCTGGAGATGGCAACTAATAAGACAAAGAGCTGGAAGGACAAAGTGGCCCATCCTGAAGGATTAATTTGACTGATAGAACCAGGTTCAAAGAACCCTCACCTGATCACTAACTGGGGACCTGCAGCTTTCACTGAGGTGGAACTTGAAGAGAGAGAGAAGAACTGGAAGGAGAAGAAGACCACGGAATGACTGAGCTTGCTGGCAATCACATCAGTTATGTAGATACTACATGGCGGGAGAGCTTTATGCTAAAGACAAAAGAAACAGCTTTGGGGGCCGGGCGCGGTGGCTCACCCCTGTAATCCCAGCACTTCGGGAGGCCGAGGCGGGTGGATCACCTGAGGTCAGGAGTTCAAGACCAATCTGGCCAACCAGGTGAAATCCTGTCTCTACTAAAAATAGAAAAAAAAAAAAATTAGCTGGGCGTGGTAGCAGGTGCCTATAATTCCAGCTACTTGGGAGGCTGAGGCAGGAGAATCACTTGAACACAGGAGGTGGAGGTTGCAGTGAGCCCAGATTATGCCACTGCACCCCAGCCTGGGTGAGAGTGAGACTCCATCTTAAAAAAAAATGGCTTTGCTGCTTTTAACTCTTCTTCCTTCTGTGCCTCTATAAGTGGGTCAATATCCTAAGGAAGCCTTCTTATTTATCTTTCTGCAAATAAGGGCTACCTGAAAAGGGGAAAAAAGTCAGTATTGTCAAGCTGTTTATTTACTCTTTCTTTGAAAACTACACCTTCTGAAAATTACCTTTTAGCCCTCTCAGATTCTTCCCCAAACGAGGCAGGGTGCAGGACAGTATAGTCAGCTCTGCAGAGTTTGGAGGGGCTCACTGCCACGGGGTAGTCAGAACCTCTGTGGACTGGGTGTTAGCTCTTTCCTTTGGCAACATGTTTCCTTCTCCGAGTATGTGCTGTTAAACTAGACTGGGCAGTTTGCTTTCCATTCCCCGATACTTGACATGGAATGCCTTTGACAGTTGGTGCTCTGACAGAGAAGTCACAGAGTCACTGCCATTTCCTGGTTGCCATTTTGGAATGTGATCCTGTTAGTAGGGGTTTTCTAGCTTCTACTAAGATGTTTATTTCTCTAACCATCATACACTTGACATGTTTCATTCCTGTCTCCTTTCCCCTCACCTTAAAGGAGACCACCCCTTTGCCCCATATTCTCAACCTAATTTTCTCTCGTACTCACTCTCTCTAGTCAATGATGTGCTACGAAGTATATGCCAGGCTGTGAGAGGATTATGCTGAGTAGTAGAAAGAAGCTAATTTGAAATAAAAGTTATTTGGGTAATTAAGAAAGCAAATTATATGCACATGGCCAATAGGAAGTTGACCGTTTGTCTGCTAGTTAGATTCAAAACACCATAAAGATGATAGCATGTCAATATATTAGCCTAGCCATGATGTTAGCCTTTGTTAGATGGGCAGCTTTTCTGCTTTTTCCCTTCCTCTGTGATGACAATGGAGGAAATATCCAATAGAAACAAGTTTAACAGGGAAATGAGGATCATAGTTTATATGTATCTGATTTCAAAGGAGTATTAAGGAAGGTTTTCATACATGACCTCTCTTTGGAATAAGAAGAACATTTATGAAATCAAGCCTTCCAACACTAGTTATAATTGAGAAGCAGCAGGAACTCCATGGATAGCAATCAAGCTTAAAATTGTAAATAAATGTGGGGATAATTCAGTTGTTGCAAAAAAAGTGGGGGCAGAATTCACTAGAATAAAGTCCTTTTCTCTTTACAAGTATTAAATGAGGACAGAGAACCTCAGGTTTTCTTATGCTAGTGCTTGCTAAGTGCATATTAAGAAAGCAATTCCAAATAGATGTATACATCTAGAGAGAGTGTTATTAGAGGTTTCAGTGTATGCATTTGGAAACTGGAATATAATCCCATAAATTATCACCTTTTATAACGAGAAAATATTTGCCAGTGAAGAAGTGGTCTTTAGGTCTTAAGACTTTTAGCGGTTTAATACAAATGTAACTTTATTCAATGATTTCTTGTAGTTACCTTTGTAAAGTTTACATCATTGTCTAAAATATTTTTGCATCATGTGCCTTTGAGATTTGACAGCTGATTTGGGTGTTGAATTTCTGCTCAGCCATTTATCAGTATTATCATTTTATTCAGTAGCTGGCAGGTGTATTAGTCCAGTGAGAACTAGGCAAGGCATGGAAACTTTCCTGTGGTTTGATTACACATTACACCAGAAAACTCCAGTATCCCTCATTCCAGAATGAGGAAAAAATATTTTACAAAGAAGCTAATTACCTATGTGAAATCTGTGGGGTGGAAACAGTGTAGCCCTGGGGAGTCTCTGCATGGTGGGGAGGGTGATGATAGAATATGTGAATTTCTACTTCTAGAAGTTGTGAAATAGGCCCTGCACTTTTGCAGAATGTCCTTCCTTAAACCTGGCTTAATCCACAGCTGTAGCTGAAAACATGACCTGGGGCTTAGCTGCTCTAGCCCTGGCTTCTTGAAGACATCACTGTCTGGCTCCCAGACATTGGCCTAAGGACTGCCTGCTTTCTGGTCACAGGTGGACCTTGATATGACCAAGCAGTTTTATATGTGGTTTAATGCACAGTGTTACCAGTTTATATCTTGGTTTCGGTGGCAGTATGTCTAGGGGAGGCAAAATCCTTGTAAACAGTGCTTTGGCTTAGATACTTGTGAATCAAAGATAGTACAGAAATGAACTAAGTAAATACCATTTGGAATTATATTTTGATACTAACTGAATTTTTCCTAGTATTTAAAATGGTTTTACCTGTCAAAGAGCCAACCAAACTCTTGGTTTTACTTTTGTAATTATTGTACAGAAAATTTCAGGAGTGTTTGAGTGCTTGTCATAATCAGCTGTTTTCCTTAATAAGTAGGAATATGATCATTTACAGAAATTAAGCATGAAAACAGTTTTTAAAATGTATTTTTGTGATGGGCTATGCTGAGAGGAAACCAAATATTTATGATTTAGAAAATTCATATCAAAACATTGTACAATGTAATATACTCAACTTCCACAACTTTTTGCTAATTTTTATACGATATATTAAAAATATCTTGTATGTCTTTTTTAAGTAAAATGGACCCAATAAGAAAATTAAAAATACCAGAATATGGAAAAAAAGAAAAAGAAAAGGCAGAATTTCTCTGAATACCTGATTTACCTCTAGAGGAGGAGAGAAGAGGATGAATCGTTCTTGGTGATTTCTTCCTCCCGCCATAACTATTGAGATTAATCACTGAATGAAATGCCCCTGTGTTTGCAACAAGGCCTACATTTCTGAGTTCAGGGTAAAACATGAATATTTTGTCAAAAACAGTTGAAATGACATAGTCTCTAGTTTTTTAATGTGTCATGCATTTGTCCATGTTTTGTTAATGTCTCCCAGACCTACAGATAGCAGATTCTCAACAGCATACTCAACATGGTTACCTGTGGGGTAACCTGCCTCTTTTTTTTTTCGCTTTCAGAGCATTGTGGTTGGAGAGAGGAGCTTCAGTGCAAAGCAATGGAGCTTAACACCCTGACTTCAGGTAGGACTCCTTTGTAGTACCCTTGTGCCATTTCATTACTATAGCTTTGCTCTTCTCAGCAGAGTTGCAGATTATTCCTGGGATTAGCTTGTCTTTTTTGTCTTTTGTTTTTTATCTCTTCCATACTTTTTCATCGCACTCAGGATATCTATACACAGCAGGCATTGATGTATATGCTTAATAATTAAGGACATATTTTCAGTGTTGGTACAGTAAATCTTATATTCCAATCATAGAGGAAGGGTGAAAATTCTTTTGGTTGCTTGGCTGGCTCCTGCTAAAAAAACTTCTGGGTGCTTGGGGCCCTCACCTTCCACTGGGACCTGGAGGAGATGTCTCCATCCTGTGACACTTAGCCGTGAGACAAGCTGAATTCATTTTTGGACTGCCAACCCCAGAATTCAGCAACCCAGGCAGAACTAATGAATTTGGTCTTCCCAACCCTTGAAAAGCCCTCCAAAAATGCTAGAAAAATGACATTTTGACTTTAAAATGCATTTCTCATAATGCTTCATGGGTGAAGTCTTCAGGAATAATCTTGTTCCAATTTTAAAAGCAAACAAACTCCTGGTTTATTTGACAATTGAGCACTTCTTAGATCCAGGCATTTCCTCAGGACAATCTTTATTCTGGTCCCTCCCTTGCAAAGCAAATTTTCTCTGACCTGGGTTGATAGAGGTGACAAATGTGGACAGGGAAGGCCCTTTCTTGGACTTCAAGCTGGGTGGTAGAAGAAAGAAAGCATGCCATTTCTATTTGGGAATGTGGAGAGGGCCTGGTGAAGATTACATGTTTTAAATGACATTGAGGAAATATTCTAAAAGGCTCTTCACAAGAATACCTTTGGAAAGTACAATAGAAAAGTAGATAGAGTCATCTATTTTCTTAACATAAGCTCAAGATTTTTTTTTTCAGGTGATTCATAAACTTCATCAATTTACAAAATGTCTGTTGGTATTTCCTTTTCTATCTTTCTTTTACGATTTCTTTTCTTTTTTCTTTTTCTTTTCTTTTCTTTCTTTTTTTTTTTTTGAGAGATAGCGTCTTCCTCTGTCACCCAGACTGAAGTGCAGTGGCTCAATCAAGGCTCACTGTAGCCTCGAGCTCCTAAGGTCAAGTGATCCTCCTGCCTCAGCCTCCCAAATAGCTGAGACAACATGTGGACACCACTATGCTCAGCTAATTTTTTAATGTTTTGTAGAGACAGGGTCTCACTATGTTGCCTAGGCTGCTCTCAAACTTCTGGTCCCAAGCTATCCTCCTGCCTTGGCCTCTCAAAGTGTTGGGATTACAGGCACATGCTCTGAGCCTGGCCGATATTTTCTTTCTGTTTTTAGTGTCACCAGCTTTTACATTAAATGTCACAAAACAATTTGCAGTTCCTCAATTTCGTATTTCCACAGTTCCTTCTTTTGGAATGTAACCTAAAATATTCAGCAAAACCTCACTCAAGTGAGTAGAGTGTAGTAGTACATTCAAAGCTAATTAAGAGAAAGAATGAATCCGTTGTTTTTATCCACCAAGAAGGACACCTGCACTGATAGGTGTAATCCATTCATCAACCAACCCAAGTGCTTGTCTTATGCACAGCTAGCAGTGTTATTCTGCAAGGCTTTTACATCTCTCCTT